CCCACTTGTCTCCCAGTAAGCTCTGGATGCTCTGAGTGCTCTGGCCGTATGATTTCACACTTGTCTCCCACATGTCTCGACTTGGCCCCCAGTAAGCTCACTTGTCTTCCACTTGTCTGTCTGGATGCTTTGTATCCCTGGGCTTGGCTGGATGCTGGGCCGATTAATTTTAGCCCTTGTACGGCGTCCCATTGTAAAGTCAATGAAAAACAGAATTTTAATGCTTTCCCTTTGAATCTTGTATGTGCGTCTACATGGTGGACTATAGTTTTCTTCCTCTAGGAAATACTGCTGGCCATATTGTTCGGAGATCTCATTTTTGAACCTTGCTCTGTTTGGGGTCTACGCTGGTATAATTTGTTCATATAACAAAACAGTTCGTCAGCAATGCTTGTCTGCAAAGGCCTGTGATGAAGCCAACAAGTCATATGAAGGGCTGGAGGAGCAGGTGCCATGTCAACATTTGTGGCATGAATGTCGTGGGTGTGGGATGGAATTTGCACAATTCACATACATTCACTTGGCTGGACACTTGCTTTGCCGCTTTGCCCTCCCCTGACCATGGAAAGTTGTGCGTATTTGTGATCAGTTCTGTGAAGCTGGCATCCTGGCTGAAGTCTCCTTTTTTCGTACTGTGTTCTTTTTTCAAGACCTTGAAACTGTCCTCTTCCTTTCTTTGTCCTGTTGACTCTCTGTTTATCCTTCAGCATTCTAAGTGGAAAATATTCTGGGTAGTGACACCCCCGAGAACGCGAATGTGTTGTACCCAATTCACGCCCTTTTCTCGCGTAGAGCATACAAACACCACTCCCAATGTGTATTTGTTCCCGGCTGTTTTTCATGGTCCAACTCTTTAACGAAACGGTCTTATCAGCAATCACAAAGTGACCAAAGGGAGCCCGATCCACAAGACTAGCATCACCATCGTTATTTTTTGAATGCTCGTTTTCCATACTAGCGATGGCTTGTTTTCAGGAAGAAACAAACAAGTGTTTTGAGAGGAAAGTAGAAGTGTCAGGCCAAGATAGCACACCAAAGGAAGGGCTCATGATCGGCCGTTTCGGTATGGTGGATTTGCTCAGGTTTCCCAAGGAAAGGGAGAAATCATGATGCGCATTCAGGACGCCGCGGTGTTTTAGAGGAACGTGTAGATCCTGGGTCGTCAATTGCTGCACTTCAAGGGTGAACCAAGGTGAACAGCCATGAATAGAACTTATCAAACTGTTTATCTCAAACTGATCATAAAAGTGCAACAATTAAGGTTTTCCTTTCCAGGACTTGTGGCAGAAAACAAAAGACTGAAATGGTGAGGAATCAGAATCCAATCTTGGCCGCAATGGACACAATCTTTGGGGTAGGCCCCTAGGTAGGTAAGAGGCTAGTAGCTTAAGCAGCAAGCAGCTAGTAGCTGGGTAGCTACTACGCATGGACGCAGGATAGCTCACGCTTCCTTGAAGAAGCGCTCGCACTAATGATTTGGCTCCTAGATTTTTTGGGAGGGAACATGAACTTAAAATTTCGTGTGATCAGGCTGGCTTGATTTGACTCAACTACACGAACTCTTACACGAACTGTGTTCCAGGTCTGGTAGGCCTTCAACCTAAGAGGGATTGCCTCCCACCTAAGAGCAATGGCCTCCAACCTAACAGCCAGTAGCGATGGCCTCCAACCTAACAGCCAGTAGCGATGGCCTCCAACCTAAGAGTGATGGCCTTCAACCTAATAGCGATGGCCTCCACCCTAATAGCGATGACCTCCACCTTAGTAGCGATGGCCTCCAACCTCCACAAAGGCTGCACCGGACTTATTTGTTGGAACATGCAGAAAGTCATCCTTGCCACAAATTGCAGCAAAGGGCCAACATTGCCGGCCGTGTCGAAAAAAAGTTGCCCCGCTAATGCGCCCTGAACGGGCTCACCAGCGCAGGAAACACAGAAGGAGCTGTTATCTCACTCTACGCCGTACGTCAAGGCCACGGAGAGGATTCAACACTTGATCTTCAGTGACATTTGAAACGATGAACACCTTCCAACTTGCTTTTGCTCAGAGAAAGGAAATATGAGCCCGTCAGCTGAACGCTAAGTATTCACTGAGCGTTCTGACCGCTTTCGCCACCGACGAGGAACATATGAAGAATGTCGCTGTCAGCATGGAGTTGTTGGATCGTGTGACGAAAGAGAAGAAGAAAGAGCTGAGGTGCCTCCAAAAGGACTGGGACTTCAGAGCAGAGTTGCTCTCAAAAGGTGTTTTTGTTGGTAAAGTAAAGAACCAAAGCGACAAGTCTAATCACTCAAAAGCACCAGTAGGACCCAACAAGAAGGAGCGAAAGACTTCTAACGTTCTCACTACCTTTTTCCCCACCTGCCAGGTGAGGGTTGTTAGATTTTATCAGAGCTGTCCTTTCCTCCTCCTCCTCCTTCTCCTCTTTCTCCTCAAGTACCAGCAGTGGACAGCACCGGACCTGAACCAGACATAAAGAATGCTGAAAAAATGTCAGCAACTAGGCCAGATAGAATGCCAGAATTTATGCCAGATATAGTGGCGGAATCTGTTTGCCAGAAAGAGTGTCAGAAAATATGCCAGAAACCACATAGAAGCCTTCGGTTGTCAGCAGAGTATAATCCCATGGTGGGGATCACTCGAAGTAATGTATTTCTGATTCCAGTTTCAGAGGACGTTCCGGAGGGTTCCGGAAGAGGTTCCGCAGCAGGATTCCGGAGGAAGGTTGCAGAGCCGGCCCCGGGGAGCTTCCGGAGCAGGCTTCGGAGGAAGGTTTCGGACAAAGGTGCCGGGGGCGGGGCCTTGAACAACAGAGCAGTGATCGCATGAAACACTCAATAGGCAGTCAATCTGCAAAAATCATTGCACGCTTAGGATAGAAACATCAAGAAACACGGTATTGCAGCACTTTTGTGACATGATTTGTACTTCTTTCGTTTTTCGACAACCAGACGTTCCGCAGCATTGCAGCAATGAACATGGCGGTGTTGGTGAGTTTCCTCCATGAAACTTGATGGTTTGTGGCATATTTTTTAAGAGCCCACAACATGTTTCCTCTTGATGTTTTTCGTCTAAAGTGTTTTGTCCAGGAGCACGATGCGGCTGCCACGGAAGCCGCAGCGCTAGCCAGCATGGATCGGGGCAACAAACGCTCGTCCGACCCCCACAGTCGGGAGATGACACTGGGGGAGCCATGAGCAGAAAACAAAAGACACATAATAGCAATGGCCTCCAACCTAATAGCAATGGCCTCCAACCTAATAGCAATGGCCTCCAACCTAATAGCAATTGCCTCCAACCTAAAAGCAATGGCCTCCAACCTAATAGCAATGGCCTCCAACCTAATAGCAATGGCCTCCAACCTAATATCAATGGCCTCCAACCTAATAGCAATGGCCTCCAACCTAAAAGCAATGGCCTCCACCCTAATAGCAATGGCCTCCAACCTAAAAGCAATGGCCTCCAACCTAAAAGCAATGGCCTCCAACCTGAAAGCAATGGCCTCCAACCTAATAGCAATGGCCTCCAACCTAAAAGCAATGGCCTCCAACCTAAAAGCCATGGCCTCCAACCTAATGGCAAGGGCCTCCAACCTAAGAGCGATTGCGTCCAACCTAATAGCAATGGCCTCCAACCTAAGAGCGATTGCGTCCAACCTAATAGGGATGGCCCCCAACCTAATAGCGAAGGCCTCCAGCCTATTAGCAATGGCCCCCAACCTAAGAGCGATAGCCTCCAACCTAAGAGTGATGGCCTCCAACCTAAGAGCTATGGCCTCCAACCTATTAGAAATGGCCCCCAACCTAAGAGCGATAGCCTCCAACCTAAGAGTGATGGCCTCCAACCTACTAGTAATGACCTCCAACCTAAGAGCGATAGCCTCCAACCTAAGGGTGATGGCCTCCAACCTAATTGCAATGCCTCCAACCTACTAGTAATGACCTCCAACCTAAGAGCGATAGCCTCCAACCTAAGAGTGATGGCCTCCAACCTAATTGCAATGCCTCCAACCTACTAGTAATGACCTCCGACCTAAGAGCGATAGCCTCCAACCTAAGAGCGATAGCCTCCAACCTAAGAGTGATGGCCTCCAACCTACTAGTAATGACCTCCAACCTAAGAGCGATAGCCTCCAACCTAAGAGCGACGCCCTCCACGATACTAACAAGCAAAAGAAGAAACAATTTGAACAAGTTGAACATTTTCTTTGTGTTCGGTTGCTCTTGTGGGATTGAACTCGTAGAGTGTTGCGCCAGTCACCAAACATCAGATCAAACTCATGTTTCAATGGTAGTTTGTGGATAGTATGTTTAAATTGTAGTAGATGTTCAATAGTGTGTTCCTCCCCAAAAAATGGAGAATGTTATCTTTGTCACTAACAAGGACACATCCTGAATGCGCAAAAGTGTTGGTTGCTGCTTTCAGATTCCGGATTGTTGGTGTCCATTTCACCAGCTTTCAGCACGGATTGAAACCCCCTGCTTGTCAGACTGAAGCTTGCCACCCGCAACGAAGAGGCGGAGCTGTTTCGGTCATCAAATCCGTGTATGTTCCAAAACTCGTCATGAAAGAAAACACATTCACCTTAGCAGCCATTTTAGTGACGGACAAGTTGAGTCGTGTGGTTTTCCATTAGCCTTTCCACTGGGTTGCACCGACTCCTTGCAGATATTTGGTGGATCCTTTGCTGGGCAAGGGCTTGTTAAGGGTTTGTTGCAGGCAGTCTTACCCAATGTTCCTTCATACGTGCCCTCTATCAGGTCGTGGGGCTTTCTTTTGTTGTTTTTGCCAAGTCCTAAGCTTCATCTCCGAAGGTGGCTACGCGCCGCGACCTGATCGACCGTACAAGAGAGGACAACGAGCTTTGTAAGCGTCGGGACCAGTCAGTCACTTGTGAATAGAGTTCTGCAGATCAACCAACAAACAAGGCATTGGGGGCATGGAGGCAGAAGCGGTTTTAGATGCAATTGACATGGTGTCAAGCTTGAAAGTTATGTCGGCTTCAAGCGGATCCTATTTGTAGGGTGCCCCTTCAGCGGTGAAGTATTCAGTTGATGAACATGCCTGATTTGCAGTGCAGGAGTTGGAGCAGTTGGACCAAAAGAATCGCAAAGCACGCGAGGAGTATGCTGCTGGACCGAAGTTGTTCAGTCACTTTTGCCATTCTAGTAGTTTAGTAGTGTCCTTGCTCCTAGTAGCGATGCCAGGAGCTTCAGTCGACCGAACGTGAGTCGAAGTCACACTCTTTTCACCTCGCTTCCAGTTTCTACAAACAATGTGGATCCGGAGAATGAGTCAACCAAGAATGTATCTACTACACCAAATGTGAAATGTGAAAGATAATGACTAAAGAAACAAGCACGGTCTGTAAAGGAAAATGAGGAAGGTGTAAAGACTGGTCTTCAGAAAAGCATGAGCGAACACGTTCTTGTTTGAACTTGCGAGCGATGTCCGCCCGTACAAGCATTCTTGTGGCATCGCTACTAGGAGCAAGGCGTTCGCCCCGGGTTCTACTTTTACTGTGCATCCCGTCCGCCTCCTTCCGCCGTACTGACTCGCTCGCCTCGCTCGCCTTACTTTACCCTACCTACCTAACCTACCTACTTATACTCACTCTCGTTCACTGGCAATAAACTTCACCTTACTTCACATCTCCGCTCATCAGCACAAAGCTTCACAAAAGCCTCCGCTTTTTCCGATCCTGCCAAGGATTTCTGCCGCCACTTGCAGCTACACAATCCACAGCCACAGTTGGAACATGAGGAGGCAACTCGCTTTGCCCAGGCAGGGCGAGGAGAGACTTGTTACTTGCAAGTAGCACAGCAGTGAAATCAACATTGCATGCATCCATCCATCCATCCATACATACATACATACATACATACATGTATATGTACACAGTGCGCATGCCAGTCACTACTTTGGGTCGTCAATGCGATTTGGAACGGCATGTCCCACGTTCGTCTACTCACAGGTTATCAGCCGTTGCGTTCTGCTAGGAGCTGAGCGTGGGACTGCTGATCCTCGACGGCTGACCTGGAACGATGTCAAGCTCGGATGCAATGAGTGGGATGGCATACTTGTTTGCTGCGTCAGGTGAATTGTCACGGCCTACACCTGAATCTCTCACGATGCCAACAGGTTCAGAAGTGTCTGTACCCAAAGCCATTGAGGATGCGCCTGTGCCACAACCTGTGGCGAAGGTGAGACATCAACCAGTGGCAAGACATCCAAGGCCGAGAAGAGCGTCGAGATCTACCTGACCGAGATCACAACAGAGTGTGGCGAGGACGAAGCCAGACACCCAAGAAAGAGCATCAGCAAGGAAAGAAAAGCTGACAGAGGAGGCTTCACCACCCCGAGGGTTGCCGTCGACACCTGACAGCTCCCGTCCAACAACATCGCAGGAAGCTCACCCTCTTGGAGAAGCTGACAGCTTCGAACATGCTCTATGACACTTTCGAGGATGAGTACGCTGCTACAAGAGCAAGCTTTGAGGAGCTCAAGATTGACGCGGACAGACAAATGTATCTAACAACAAGACACTGTAACCTGTAACCAGCTCGGCGTGATCATGACTGAGCTCAGACAAGAAGAGGAAGGGGCGACATATCCCATTCAAGAAGAGACTGGACATATCAGTATCTCCAACAACATGACAATGTCGCTGCTGAGTCCGTCGAGGCGATGCAGATGTCAACTAAAATGTCGAAGATGTATGATGAGACGCAACAGCTCTTCAAATCTCAACTATTCAGTGCCAAGACAGAAGGACTGTTCAGGATGAACGAGGAAGTTGAGGACATTTGCAGAGGAAATGTGCCAACAAGCACGGGAGAGCGCAAGCAAAAAGATCAACTCGAGATACTGGGTGAGCGATCTTCGGCTGATCAAGCTACCCGTGATGAACCAGCAACGATTTGCTTTCCTTCGTGAACAGAATGTTCTCTAACAGAATGTTCTGACGCACGCTCGGGACATACCGAAAGTCTGGAGTTGACCGATGTCGGATCTGAGTAACAAGGTGAGGCAATCTCCATGGAAAAGGAGGAGGGAAGAATGAATAACGCCACCACCCGCGCAAGCGAAAGTATGACTGAAGGTGACCCAAACAAGGCCTATATGATTATCTCGGAATATGGTGAAGAAGTATGACCAAATGATCAACGGAAGGAGATATGTGCGAAGGGCCTCACGAGAGATTGCTGCGCCTGAAGCCACCTGCGCCTAAAGAACCTCCTACAGCTCCTTGACCATTGCGGACTGACAACCTCATATGTCAAGCCGAAGGGATTAAACAAAAATATAGCGTTAGTTGTTGACCTAGGGGGTGTCCTCGACAAGGCGCGCCACAATAGCATCAAGCCAGAAAAAACTGGGGCGAGTAGCATAGCAGTGAAATCAGCGTTGCGTATTATACACTGCACGCACCGCTCACGATTCTGCCTCAAGACGCGGCAGGGTGCGAGTTTGTATGGCATATTGCACGTTCGCCTACTCACAGTTTTCATGGCTTTTGCTCGCGCACCCCAAATCGACTCAATCAAACCCACAACTTTATTTTGAAGATGAGTGAACCGTGTGCGTTCGCCTTCAGATGGCGTTGAGACGTTGAAGACTCTTGCTATCTTGCAAGAGGCTTTTGGAGTCATGAGCTCGCCGAAAGCGCTCCAAACACTCGCAATTACGAAGCAGCACCACTAGCAGCTGGCGAGCCGGCGATGTTGATCGCGTCGCGCCAGGCAGAGGCGGATCGCTGCTTGGGTAACTTCAAACTTTGGGTCCAGGACCCGGAGGAGTTCGAGGCGATTTTTGGGATCTTGCTGCCGCGTCATGCAGTCCCCTTCAAGAAGCGTTTCAGTCCACGTCCGTGGCTTTGTAGGCCACCCAAGCAATGTTCATACTTCTAGAAATGTTGTTGTAAAAGAAAACAGTTCTCCAATCTTGGAATCTCAAGAGCCAAACTCTAGTTTGTTGTGAGGGAGGAGTGTTTCAAAAAGTTGCTGTAACCGTTTTTTTAGGAGTTCCTTCAATCGCGTTTAAATTGTTCTCTCAATCAGCCTCCACAGGCCGTCCCAGTGAAAACTCAGCTCTCTCCAAAGGTGCGGCTCTCGGCGGTCTCTCGACACTTTCCACTTGGGACCAATGGTTCCCGCCGCTAGGCACCCCTTTTTTTCACATGTTTTGTTTGTTTTTTGCGTGTTTTTGTTTTTTTTTCCTGTTTCTTCTCCTATCCCGCCAAGGTCCTGTCTTGTTTTCACCCCCTAGGTATCATTTGTGATTCTCGGCGTTTTGTCAGAAATGATGCCGCCTTTCAGCCGAAACTGGAGATGCCAAGTGCGTTCCTGATGTCCTGCCCGTTTTCGGGTTTTGTTTCCCAGTTTGTCATGGAGCTGTGTGCTATGCACCTTTGCTTGCTAATTTCGTGTAAATTCTCTTCAGCGGATTCCCGTTCTGCATAAGATGTTGCGACGTTTGTTTTGACAGAGTAGTAAATGACGATTATGCGTACGTTGTTCTCTCCATGTTTTTCTGGTTGTTTTGCCTGGGCCTAGATGAATCTTCGAATGCTTAAAGAGCTGCTGAAAAGGCTTCTAAAAATATGTTTTCTGTTTGGTCCACCGAAGGCCAAGTCTCCGAGAGAAAAGAAGCAGCAAACAGTTTCGCGGAAGGCGGGCCAAAGTGCCAATTCTACACAGACGTCAAAAGAAAGCTGTCAGCTTTGCGAAGTGAAGTGTAACATACCATAGTTACTCTGCAACATACTGACTCTTGTCATGACTAATTGTGACCAACCAATTGATCGATCTGTGCAACATGCCAGGCGGTCTACATGGGTGACCCACGCGACCAGCGCTTGGAATCTCACTTCCTCCCCTTCGGCCAGCAGAGTACACCAAGCCAGGCCACAGCGTAGCACAGCCGTGAGAGTGATGTTCTCAGGGACTAATGGGCGCTGCGGTGTACCCAAGCGTACAACGAACGGGGGCTTCCTGACGGCGCGCAATGGTTTGGTGCTCCATCCGACCCATACCTCAAAGCAAGCGCAAACACGCATCTCCAAACTGCAAGCTCCAGCCCTCCGCGCTGAAGCCCCTGAAAATCCGCAGGTAGTGACCTTGTTTTGAGAGGAATGTTTTACAAGTTGGAGGCCATCACTAGTAGGTTGGAGGCCATCGCTACTAGGATGGAGGCCATCGCTACTAGGATGGAGGCCATCGCTTCAAAGTTTGAAGGCCGTCGCTCTTGGGTTGGAGGCCATTGCTATTAGGATCTATTAGGAACTGTTTTACAGTGGTTCATCAAGTTCAGCTCGGTCTCATGGCGACATCCTTCAGGGTTTGGAAAGATAGTGAACAGCGATGGCCTCCAACCTAATAGCGAAGTCCCCGTTCAGGTCCCCTTTCTCAGCCTAACAACACCGGCAACCCGAATCGGCATTGGACACCGGTCGGCATTGGATTTGGCGCTTCGAGGATTCAAAGGGCGACAACAATCGCTACTAGTAACAAGTGCATCGCTACTAGGAACAAGTGCCGTACTACTAGTAACAATGTCTGCTAGTAGAAACAAGTGCCTTACTACTAGTAACAAAAAGAATTTAATTAGAATTGTAATTGCTTGAGGATCCTTTCTTCTTGCGTCCTCACAACGCCACAGGAACAAGTGCATGGTCATTAGCCGATTCAGAAACTAACCGATCAGGCAACTACGATTCAGAAACCAAAACAGCCGATTCAGCAACTACGATTCAGAAACCAAAATGGCCGATTCAGCAACTACGATTCAGAAACCAAAACAGTCCGATTCAGAAACCAAAACGGCCGATTCAGAAACCAAACTGACCGATTCGGAAACCAAACTGGCCGATTCAGAAACCAAAATCGTGCCGATTCAGAAACCAAAACAGCCGATTCAGAAACCAAAACGGCCGATTCAGAAACCAAGTCGGCCGATTCAGAAACCAAAACAGCCGATTCAGCAACTACGATTCAGAAACCAAAAGAGCCGATTCAGAAACCAAAAGAGCCGATTCAGAAACCAAAAGAGCCGATTCAGAAACCAAAACGGCCGATTCAGAAACCAAAACGGCCGACTCAGAAACCAAGTTAGGCTGTTCAGATGAGTGGGCTGGGAACCATGGCCAAGATATTAACGTTCCACGTGGATGCAAAAGGATTTTGCATTCATTCAAGTAAGAATTAATGGTGGACGGCACGAGGGGTGTGGGGTGGGGGGGTGAAAGAGTGACTAGGGCGTACACGGTAGAGGTGCAGACCGCTAGTGTCTTTTATGCGCAGAGTCTTATCCTCTTGCTCTTTGAGCCTTGAAGCAGTCAAGCATGGACACACTATATCAGCTGTTGGAGTGGAACCCTGTACAGGTAGGCTCTACTTTTCAGCAGGCACAAGATTCATGTCCACTTCTAGCTGATTGCGTATGTCGCATACTCTTTTTCTACTGCAAGGCTAAATCAGTCCAGCTAGCTCTGACAACTTAAAAGAAAACTACGGTGCCATGTACTTACCTAATCCAGTGTGTTTCACACTTCAGAGAAGGTAATCTCATAGCTACTAAATACAGTGAGGGAGCAATAGCTGACTCACCTCAAGTACAAAATCAAAGCGATAATGTACCTCGGCTGGAGACTGTACTTTTCGCAGGCGAAGATACCATGTACCGGCGCTCACTAGCTCTTTATGGCCTGAGCTAAATCAAACAAAAAGGGAAAGCGGCTTTTTCTCTACAGAGACCTATAAAAGAATCAAACGACACTCGCGTAACCAAAAACGAAAATTCAAGACCGCACAATGCAATGAATTAAGATGCCTTGCAAAATGCAAGGAGCGTACGGTCCGAGGAATAATCTTCTCGCGACGTGGTCTCGACCGCTTTCATCCACAGACAAAATAAAACTGCATCAAAAGGACTCTCTTTCACATTCACATCAAAACACAAGAAGGAGATACCGGCAAATGTATGTACAAAACTTGCACTACAATTGCAAATCATGAAATGACTTAATCATCAACCATGACTGGTTGTCCATTAGAGGTCATCTCAGAAAAAGCGGCTGTGATAGATATCATCAGTTATGCAAAACTGTCCATACCTATCTGCATGCTAAAGCGTATAAACCTGGAATGCAGGAGTATCTTCTTTGATAAAAAGTTTCTCCTGGTTGCAAACCAGAGTTCATTAAAACTTCAGCCTGGAAACTTAAAGTCAAGCCTGGAAGCAAAGTATCAACTGTAACCAGAAGTATCTTCACTTCCTAGCCATCATTTAAATTTCAGCCTTCGCTCAGGAATTATGCCGCTGCAAACGATGAAGTTGCTTGATCAGAAGTTGGCGGCCTTCCTTTCCTTTTATTCTGCTTTTGTCTCTCCTTCCTCCGCAAGTTCGCCTCATGAAGAGTTGGTCCCATGCGATACTGTTTTCTGTCTCCAGATGAAAGGGAAGCTGGTCTGAGTGAAATAAACATTGGACCATGACTGTCCTCGTCAGTGGGCCTTGAGCACATAACCTCCGTGTCAATCATAGCAAAGTTCTCTGAAAAATTACAGATGAACTCCTTCGTGCTCACTGTGGAATTTTCATATTCCTCTTCACTCATTGAATGACCCCATTCAACAATGGTAGACAAACATGTATCGCCAAGCCTTGATCCTTGGTATTCTTCTTTTTCAACAGTAGAATATTCTTCCCAGAGTTTATCAAAGTAAACTTCACACTTCTTGAGGACCTGTGAAGTTGAACTGTAAAATGTTCTGGGAATAGGCGCTTTGATACCAGGATCTGCGTTTACACGAGCTTCTGAAAACCTGCGGATCCAATGCTGCATGGTGCTGTAATAGTAGTTAGCCATTGGCTGCCTTTTGTACCCAGACATTCTGTAGGCCAAACTATTTGCATCACCAGAAATGATGTCCACCTCATAGACAAAACACTCGTAAAGCATCAATGCTGTTTGTTCTCCTGTCAGTAGGTGGGCATCCACAGCACGGTGTGTATCAACATGGTAATTACAGACTCTGATGGTATGCATGTTCGCTCGAATAAGTGGAACACGCTTGTCCTCAGGACCATAGTCATCAAATTCAAAGTCTGCATCCTTGAAATCTTGACGAGGCCTTGTTTCTCCAAAACAAATCTCGTAGATAGCCCAAGTTACATCACGCTGTTCACAGTGACCAAGATCTTGGTCATGTCCAGCAATGATCTTGACATATCCACCTGGTGCCAATCTAGCCATCACTGCAAGATTCTCCCAATCATTGAAACAAACTGCCCAATTCTTTTGCTCAATAAATTCCTTGGCAGGAACAAGAAGATGAGCTTCCTGGAGAATCACGACATGTGCACGTAAAAGGAAGAGCATGTTGAAGAAAAGGTTGTTCTCAAATTGCTCATTCTGAAGTGACATGGCGCTCTGTTTGCGTGGCCTCATTGCACTATCAAGTCCTTGGAGAAACCTTGGTGCGGTGTACTTCTGACCACGAACCATGTTGCCATAGTTCCAGGATAAAAATGTCAAGGACTCTGAGCTGGCCAGTAAGTTAGTTCCATATGGTTCTTCTATTCTTCCTTTGAGGAACCTTCTGCACAGCTCTTCATAGAAGGTGACAAAGTCCCAACTGGGTCCCTTGGGACCATATGATTCCAGTTCCTTCTTGAGTTCCTTCTTCGTATCCTCCAATTCTTCTCGAGCATGTCCTGCCCTTTCAAGGGCCTTTGGATCGACCTGATACCTGCCATCCTGAAGAATCTCTTCAAATCATGCTCTGGTTCATGTTCATAACAATCAGGTGGAGGTACTGGACAGATATTGCGAATGGATCGAACAAAATCGTTCTCGTTGATCCTCGACTGATAATGAGGATGGGAAATCTCACCTTTTCTGAAGCAAACATGGTTCAGCAATCTTGCATGAGTTTCCCTGAAGCATAGTTGATAAAAGCCAATACCTGGATCTCCTGTAAGCTCTCCAAGCAACTTCAAAGGTGAAGTATGCAACTCATAGGTATTGTCCGCTTTTGTTGTATCCTTTTCAACAACTACTTCAGATGGAAAAGATTCTTGGATTTCAGCCTCCAATTTCTTCTCTCCATCATCCTCTCTGACCTCTTTTATCTTCTCCACCGCCTCTTTCTTCTCTTCCATGGTTGCATCATCCTGAACTTCTTCATGAAAATGAGGATCAGGAATCTTATTCAGGCGACTTTTCTTAGATTTCCGCTGACCTGAAGTATCATCAAGGTTAGCATCCATCTCACCTGATGGTAAGTGCGATGCAGTCGAGTCCTCACCTATCTCTCTTGACAGAAAGTGTGGTGTTGACTCTTCCTTGGCTTCCTCCTGGTCAACTTCCATCTTTGGTTCCTCTGAAGGAAAAACACCTGCATCTTCATCAAATATTTCTTTTTCCTTTCCAGGTTCAACTGCAGGATCTTCTTCAGGAACTTCCTCTTCCATATTCTCATCTTCTAGAAGTGTTCTACTTCCAGTATAGACTTCACCAGTGATAGTGGAGACTCTTGTATAAGGAGGAACTTCTTCACCTGCTTCAAAAGCTTGTTCTGCAACATCCTTGGTGAGCAAGTCCTCTACAAGATTTTCTCCCTCGGTTCTTGGAAGAGGTCCTGAGGTCTCATAAAAATCTGTCCTCTCTGAACTGAAAGCTTCTGTCGCCTTCTCATTGTCCTTTTGATCCCTGAACAGGTGAGTAATCTTCACAGCTTCTCCCTGTAGCACCTGATCACCTCCTCTATACTTGTCGACAATGGAGCGCCATACTGGAACATCATCATCATCAAAATCAAGCTCCATATCATCTGCCAACAGGTATGAGATGTTTTGAGCTGCCTGTTCTTCTTCTTCATCACGTTCTTTGGCAAGCTCCTC